TGCCACCTGCTTCACTCTTTCTGCTAAGGATTGCTTTAGCTATTCTTGGTCTCTTATTTTTCCATATAAATTTCATGGTTGCTTTTTCTATTTCTATGAGAAATGCCACTAGGATTTTGATTAGAATTGTGGTAAATCTGTATAGTGCTTTGGTAGCATTGTCATTTTGATAATATTAATTGTGCCTATTCATGAGCAAAGTAGATCTTTCCATCTTCTAAGGTCTTTTTTGATTTTTTTCTTTAGGGTTCTGTAGTTTTCCTTGTATAGACCCTTCACCTCTTTCATTAAGTTGATTCCCAAGTATATATTTTTTTGAAGTTATTGTAAATGGGGTAGTTTTCTTCATTTCTTTCTCAGAAGATTTTTCACTGATATACAGAAATGCCTTTGATTTATGGGTGTTGATTTTATATCCTGCTACTTTACTAAATTTACTTACTAGTTCTAGAAGTTTTCTGGTGGAGCTTTTTGAGTCTTCTAGGTATATAATCATATCTGGCATTTGCAGGTAAATTGATAGCATTGGAGAAAATAGTGCTAAGTGATGTTAGCCAATTCCAAAAAAAAAAAAAAATGCCAAATATAAGGAGGCTGACTCATAATGGGGTAGGGAGGGGAGCATGAGAGAAGTAGATGGATTCTCCATAAAGAAGAGGGGTGGGAGGAAAAGAAAGGGAGCAGGGGATTAGCAAGAATGGTAGAATGTGATAGAGACCATCATCAAAAATACATGTACGAAGACACAAATTTGTATCACCATAATTTATATACAACCAGAGATATGAAAAATTGTGTTCTATACATGAAATAAGAATTGTAATGCTTCTGTTGTTATTTCTTTAAAAAATCGATAGAAATATAAAAAAATTTGTTCATAAATTATATAAATTAAATATGTGCATGATATGTAGAATACATGCATATTTATATCTGCACATATATGTTTATATATAGATCTAGGGAAAGGCAAGTCTCTTTCCTGAATTTTTAAAAATCAATTAACTTATTAATTTGTTCTAACTTGCTAATAGAGCAGAATGCATTTCACTTCATAGTACACAAATGGAGCACAAAATTTTATTTCTCTTGTTGTACAGAAAGTATAGTTACAAAACCCATGTAACTCTACTTTGTGTACAATAAGATTTTCATCTCATTCAACCATCTTACCTACCTCTAAACCATTTCCCATCACCTCCCTCCCCTTTGTCTTATTCAAAGTTTCTTCATTTCTTCCATGCTACCTCCCAGTTCCCTCGTTGTGGATCACCATCCACTTAGCAGAGAAAACATTAGGTCTTTGGTTTAGGAGGATTGGTTTACTTGCCTTAACATGGTATTCTCCAACTCCATCCATTTACTTCCCAATTCCATAATTTTATTCTCTTTTAATGCTCAGTAATATTCCACTGTGTAAATAGACCATATTTTCTTTATCCATTCATCTATTGAAGAGCATATAGATTGGTTCTGTAGTTTACCTATTTTGAATTGTTTTTTTCTATGAACATCGATGTGGATTTGCCTCGGTATTCTGCTGTTTTTAGCTCTTGTTGGTCTAAACTGAGTAGTGGGATAGCTGGGTAAATTTTGGTTTCTTTCCAAGTTTTCTAAGGAATCTCCATATTCTTTTCCAGATTGGTGTCACCAATTTAGAGTCCTGCCAACAGTGTAACAGTGGTCCTTTTTCATCACATCCTCACCAACATATATTTTTGCTTGTATTTTTAATAACTGCCATTCTGATTGGAGTAATATTAAATTTTGGAGTAGTTTTGATTTGCAATTCTTTAATTGCTAGAGATGCTAAACATTTTTTATTGATTGATTGATTTTTTTATCTTCTAAGAAGTGTGTCTCTTCAGTTCCTTAGCCCATTTCATTTCTACAAATTGATAATAAAAGCTTAAATTATTATTTTCCTTTTTTGTGAATGCATTTATTCCACATATTCATCAATACTATTTAATTCATCTATGTGATGTGATTTTATTCAATGTTACCTAATTTCTAAAGACTGAGTTTTTACGATTATGTAACACTTAGATATATCCTTTTTAAAGTCACTCTTTAATAATTTTTTTTTTATGTTTTTCTTTTGCAATCTGTTGTATTTCTTCTTATAAGCATTTGATTATATGTGAGGAAATTAGGGTTTTTTTTTTTTTTACCTTGTCAGTTTTGCAGCTTTTAACGTAATCATTTGATGAATAGATTCTTTTGTATTAATATTTTGTAATTCATAAGTTTAAGTCTATTATATTGTATAATTTTGAAAACAAAAAAAAAAAAAAACTTTTTTTTTCTTTTGTCATATTAAGGATTCAACCAAAGAGTCTTAATGGTGAGCATATTCTCAGCTCTGTTTTAAAATTTATTTCCAGATGGGGTTTGCTCAATTTCTTCAGTTGGCCTTAAATTTTGAACTTCATGCCTTAGAATCCAGAATAGTAGATATCTCAGGTGTGCACCACCATATGAACCCTATCTTTTGTATGTAAACGTTTGAGCTTTCTACTTTCTTATTTATTTCAGTATTATTTATTAATAAATTATATTCAGAATTTAATATGTCAAAATATGTTGTTATGTTCTATGAGTGAAGGGATAAAATACCAGTTTATTATCACACTCTTTTCCCAATATCCTAGCATGTTTTAAGAGTTTTGTTGTTGGTGTTTTCTGTAGTTCCACCATTTATTTTATTATGAGGATTACCCTGGTTGATTTTACTTCATAACATGAATCATGTGGCATCATGGTATTTTGGTCAGCTGTAGACTTTATGTACAACCATGGATCTAGCAAATATCTTAGCCATGTACTAGTCTATACCATCTAGATTCTGTCATTGCACTCAGAGAATTGGAAAATTGCAGAAGATTCTTAGGATAAATTTTCCAGAGTGTATTTCCATAAAGTGAGAAATCGTTATATATGCCTATGTTTGCAATTATATACTGTATAATTGATATAATTTTTGTTTGTTGAATTTTCAAATTTGCTAGTGCTTTTTAAATTGTATCTGCTTTTTTTATTTGTACGGAAGATTGAACCCATTGGTGCTTAACAATAAAGTCACATCCTCAGTCCTTTTTTATATTTTATTTAGAGACAGAGTATTGCTGAGTTGCTAAGTGCTTCACTAAGTTGCTCAATACAATATATATGACAATATTATATATAATATTGTCTTAGAATTTATGATCCTTTTTTCTTATCCTCCTCAGTCACTGGAACTAGGGTTGTCCATCACTTGAATGGGTGCATTTGCTTTTTAAAAGCACCAACATTGATACTGGTAACTCTGTGTTATGTTTATCTTTAATAGCTTCTAATTTTGCTTTTTATTGGGATGGATGATTTGATAATAAATTCTAGTCATTTTATGGCTTACTAAATTTTTTGTATGTTTTATTTTCACCTCAGTTATAGATGAATTCCAATTTTTTCCAGCTGTATGGAGGTCTAAGTGAAACATAATAATCTATATGGATAATGTTAAAGAAATGGAACCACAATTTTACCCAGTTTTTTGACTGCACTGTATATGCCCAAAAAACATAAAATCAGCATACTACATTGACACAGCCACATTAATGTTTATAGCAGCACAATTCACAATAGCTAAGCTATAAAACCAACCATTCAATGATGAATGGGTCCATTCAATGATGACAGGATAAAAAACTGTTGCTTATGTACACAATAAACTATGAATTGACCATAAAGAATGACTTTATGACATTTGCCAGGAAATGGATGAATCTGGGATTTTATGCTAAGTAAAACAAACCATTTTTTTAAAACCAAAAGTTGAAAGTTATTGCTGATATGTGAAATCTAAAGCTCATAAAATAGGGAAGGGTAAGAAAAGAAGATCAGTAGATTGCACAATGTTAAACAAAAAATAAATAAATGAATGAATAAATAAATAAAAGGGACAAAGATAGAAATATAAAAGATATAAATCTGTAAGTTAATCCTAACATCGTAGCCACCAACAAGAACAGGATTTTAATTAGGATAAGATATATCCCATGCTTGCATAATACCATAAAAATTGATTTTTACTGTCAGTTAGAACTAGAAAGAACCAATAAAATAAAATAAAATAAAATAAAATAAAACATTATATTTGTTTGAAGAGCTATATGTATATTCCATTATAAATATCATACAATATAAACATCGATCAAAGTTTATATATATATATATATATTATATAAATGTTATAAATATAATATTATAAATATTATATATTTATATATTTATATAATAATATATAATTTATATATTATTTATATTATATATTATTTATATGTATAATTTATATATTATTTATATATATTTTTATAAATATTATATATATATATATATATATATATAATTTTGTATGTTAAATTTATAAAAAGAAAAATTCAAACAGGATTGTTGTTGCTATTTTTTATATTAATAACATACATAAAAACCATAAAATGTTTGAACTTAAATAAACTACTAAATATTTCCATTAAGTGGTCTGTCTACCTTGTTATATTTCAAAATTTCTCTTATACCATTGATATTAGAATTACTAGAGATCTCACTACACATTCAGAATAGCCAGCTCTATGAGAGAAATAACAAATAAGATTCTACACATTAGTAAATCTCTGATTAGTGGTTGTACAATTAAAATTTGAGGATTCCCTTTCTTAATTATGATGATTTTCTCATCTAAAAATATGTATAATTTAGATCAAGATATAAAAATTACAAAATATATATTTTTGTGACAATGCCTGAGTTTTATATTATGTTTCATAAATGTGGAGTATGTATACTTATTTGAACTTAAGTCACTTTTTCTGCAGAAGTAGATAATAGTATCATTGTGTTCCAAAACACTTCCTACATGTTAGTCTACCAACTCTCATTTCAACTTTAATTACATTACAGACTGTGCAAATGTTCATGTGGTCAGTGTGTTATTTATTTATCTATTCTTATTTTAGGAACTATTAACATTTATGGATATAGCCATTGATTTTACTGAAGAGGAGTGGGAATGCCTTCAGCCTGCTCAGAAAAATTTATATAGAGATGTAATGCTAGAGAACTATAGAAACTTGACCTTACTGGGTAAGTTTAATTTCCCTTTAAAATTATTAATTACTAATTATTATTTAATTTACTTCTGTTGCAGAGTATCTTATGGGTACTTCTCTATAAAAATGAGTTTCAGATTTGTGTTTCAAAGAAAAAGGGCATTTTTAGTACAGATATTTCTCTCTCTCTCTCTCTCTCTCTCTCTCTCTCTCTCATATATAAATTTTACTCTTTAATCTGTCTCTTTCTTCGTGTGTTACACATTCTTTACTTTAGATAAGTAGTACCTAGTATAATTTACTGATGTAAACTATTGTAGACTACACATAGCAGGGGACACAGTTGAATCATTCAATTGTCAAGGAGAAAACCAAACTAAAAAATGCTGAGAGAGTAGTTATGCAGCAGAAGAAATTTTCAGAAGCTTAGGTTTATTTATTTTGATTGTAATCATTGAACACACACTGCTCTCTATTTATCACATTTTCAAATTCCTTGTTGTTCTCTGTTTTCTTCTTTAGTGATGTCCCAGTTTATTCAGATTAACCATCAAAACTTACCTTTTGTTTTGAGGGCCAGCATGATCTGTTTCATATCTTCTTGTAAGGAGACTTTTAAAGAAGCAAAGAGAAGAGAGAGACACACACAGTGAAAAGGAAAAAAGAAAAAAATAACTGGCCACCCCTCTTAACAGCTGCACATATAATACCCCAAAATTACATAGATTCTGATACCATGACTACCTTCTAACCCAGTGTTTATTTAACCCCAAGTGCTAGCTAACCAAGATTATGTACACTTACTACAAATATAGAGCCCCTTCTCCCTAAGGACATTACCACAGAAACTTGATAGTGCACCTGTAGAGTTGTTTTAATAGCTTCAGGGAGAAACTGCTGGGCATTACAATTGTGGGACTCAGGGTGCCAGTTACAATCACCCCCACACTTTCCTGTCTATTCCAAGGCCAGAATACCTAATACCTCCCCTCTTTTTTAAGGCCTTTTGAATAAATAATATTCCTTATCTCCTTAATGCTGGTGGGGGCAAAAAATAGGGCAGGCATAGACAACAGCAAGTTCGAACATCAGTAAACATCCACCTATGAATATTTTTGACCCAGATGAAATTGAGTAAACATGAAGTTAACCAATACAACAAGTCCAAAAACCATCAACTTGTTAAACCTTATTAATAATATATTTAAGGTTAAATAAGTCTTTTGAAATAAAATTACTATTATAACTTAAATTGAAGGAACACATGTTATTAAACTTCTGATATCCTTTATGATGTAACAATAATAGACAATCAATTGCAGCATGATTGTCAAGTATGGCTTGACAATATTGTTTTTGTTCTTCATTAAGCATATTTACATCCATGGAGGCATGACTAATACTAATATTTTGTCTCTTAAAGTTTTATGAAAATATATTCAGGACATAGAATTAAGTGAAAGGTGGCAGGCAGATATTAAGTTTTAGGAGCCTTTGATTCACAAGTGGAAGTCAGAAATTTAGTGAGCAAAATTTTGCTCACCAGGTTCTTTGTTTTATGAAGGGTTGATATTATAGTCAAAGTCTTCATATTTTTATTTTATTGAGCATAATAGTGTCAAGAGTTTTATTTTACCACATAGTGAGTGTATTATATTCTTCATAAATACTAGTAGAAGGAATACAATACCTTGTAAGAACAAAATTGATAATTATATGAAATAATGATTTCATTAATTCATTCTTTTTAATTATTTTACCTTGTATACATAGTATAAAATACCATGATATATTTATAAGTAAACAAAGTTGTATTTGTCAATAAAGGAAATACACATATCACATGAATGTAAAAATCAATTTATTATACTTGATTGTCATGTGTTAAATTCATCCAAGTATTATGGCCATAGGCTATGCAAGGTTTTTATAGTCTTTTAAAATATTTTTATTAAAAATTTTATAGACACACATGTGTATATTTCTTAGTACATTTTTTGTTCATATTTCTTTTTAAGAGTCCATTGCCTCTTTACCGTTGTTGAATATTTATGGTATTATCACTCAAAATCTACTAGTTATTTTCATGTCTTTATGTCATGGTAGACAAAAACCATTTTTTGGAAACTCTTTGAAATAGCCAGAAATGTTTGTATATGTTTTACATTTCTCTTATTCTACTGACAGTGAAGGTAGATGGTAGATATTTCCTAAATACACAATACTATCTTATGAAGGCCAAAAGTCTGTTAATGATACTTTTCTAACACTTTATTATATTACTCTTCTTAATGATGTACTCCTCTTGGATAATGTGGTCTCTACAAGAATTTGAGTAATATTCTCAAGGTAATTTTTTCTGTACATTTTTATTGAACTAATATATTTTTTGGATTTATGGTGACTTTGGACTTACTAATCTGCTACACTCCTGATGTACTTTTTTTACCTTAATTTCATGTTATGTATGCAAAATATATTTATCTCAGTCTAATAGGTATTTTTTTAAAATTTTTGTTTATTTCAGCCATAACTCCTAATCATACCCAAGAATATTCACCAGACAAGGGCCTAAAACATATATTTCATGAAGTGATAAGTGTAAAATATAGAAGTTGTGATCTTGACTATTTACCACAAAAGAAATTATGGAAAACTACAAGTGAGATTGAACACCAGAAATCATATAAAAAATTAGGCCTTGTTCACCACCAGAGAATTTATACTGGAGAGAAGCCCTACAAATATGAAGAATGTTGCAAAGCTTTTAGTAAAAAAAAAGGTCTTATTTACCACAGAGGGACCCACAATGGAGAGAAGCCCTACAAATGTAAAGAATGTGCCAAAGCTTTTGGTCAAACATCACACCTTATTTGCCACAGAAGAATTCACACTGGAGAGAAGCCCTACAAATGTACAGAATGTGGCAAAACATTTGGTGACAAATCAAACCTAATTCGCCACAGTAGAACTCACACTGGAGAGAAGCCCTATGAATGTAAAGATTGTGGCAAAGCTTTTGGTCAAAAATCACACCTTATTAACCACAGCAGAACTCACACTGGAGAGAAGCCTTACAAATGTAAAGAATGTGGCAAAGCTTTCAGTCTAAAATCACTACTAATTTGCCACAGAAGAACTCAAACTGGAGAGAAGCCCTACAAATGTAAAGATTGTGGCAAAGCTTTTGGTAACAAATCAAACCTTATTTGCCACAGGAGAACTCACACTGGAGAGAAGCCCTATAAATGTACAGAATGTGGCAAAACTTTTGGTGACAAATCAAACATAAATCGCCACAGAAGAACTCACACTGGAGAGAAGCCCTATGAATGTAAAGATTGTGGCAAAGCTTTTGGTCGGAAATCACAACTTATTTGCCACAGAAGAACTCACACTGGAGAGAAGCCCTATGAATGTAAAGATTGTGGTAAAGCTTTTGGTCAAAAACCAAACCTTATTTACCACAGAAGAACCCACACTGGAGAGAAGCCCTACAAATATACAGAATGTGGCAAAGCTTTTGGTGACAAATCAAAACTTATTTGCTACAGAACAACTCACACTGGAGAGAAGCCCTACAAATGTACAGAATGTGGCAAAACGTTTGGTTACAAATCAAACCTTATTCGCCACAGGAGAACTCACACTGGAGAGAAGCCCTATGAATGTAAAGATTGTGGCAAAGCTTTTGGTCGGAAATCACAACTTATTTGCCACAGAAGAATTCACACTGGAGAGAAGCCCTATGAATGTAAAGATTGTGGTAAAGCTTTTGGTCAAAAATCACACCTTATTTACCACAGCAGAACCCACACTGGAGAGAAGCCCTACAAATGTACAGAATGTGGCAAAACTTTTGGTGACAAATCAAACCTAATTCACCACAGCAGAAATCACAGTGGAGAGAAGCCCTACAAATGTAAAGAATGTGGCAAAGCTTTTGGTCAAAAAATAGACCTTATTCACCACAGGAGAACTCACTGGAGAGAAGCCCTACAAATGTAAAGAATTTGGCAAAGCATTTACTCAAAAATCAGGCTTTATTTGCCACAGGAGAACTCACACTAGAGAGAAGCCTTACAAATGTAAAGAATGTGGCAAAGCGTTCATTCAAAAATCACACCTTTTTTGCCACAACAGAACTCACACTGGAGAGAAGCCTCACAAATTCAAAGTATGTGACAAAGTTTTTACTCAAATATTACACCTTATTCGCCACAGCACAATTTACACTGGAGAGAAGCCTTACAAATATAAGGAATGTTGCAAAGCTTTTAGCAATAAAACAGGCCTTATTCACCACAAGAGAACTCACACTAGAGAATAGCCATACAAATGTGCATAATGTGGAAAAGCTTTTAATAAAAAATAAAACTTTATTCACCACAGCAGAAGACTTTCTGGTGAATGTGAAATGTGAATAAAGTGATAATACTTTTAAAGAAAGACTAAACCTTGGGGCTGGGTTTGTGGTTCAGTGGTAGAGTGCTAGCCTCGCATGTGTGAGATCCTGGGTTCGATCCTCAGCACCACATAAAAATAAATAAGTAAAATAAAGGTATTGTGTCCAACTACAACTAAAAAATAAACATTAATAAAAAGAAAAACTAAACCTTATTAACAACAGAATTTATACCGAAAAGAACCACTACAAATTGAAACAATGCAGCAAAGCTTTGAATAAGAAATCAATTCTTTTCACCACTAGGTTATTTATTCTGGAAATAAGACATAAATGTAGAGAATGTAGAAACATTTTAAATTATATATCATATATTACTAGACATCAGAGAAAACATACTGGAGAGAAACTCTACAAATGAGACCATTGTACCTTTACTCTAAGAAAGGGACAATATTTAATCCTCACCACAATAACCATAGCATAGAGAAAGTTTTGAAATGTGAAAATTGACAATGTGACAATGCCTCCAAAATTTATTCACCAATACTCAGCACCTGTGGATACATACTGGTTAGAGAAAATACAAATGGAAAAAACAATGTAGCCACATGTTTCTTAAACACTGCTTATTTTTGGAGAATTCATTGTGCCCAGAAACCCTAAAAAGTTAAATAATATTTCCAAAATGTATTTAAATTTAAATTCATTGAACATCTGAAAACTCATACTAGTAGTGAACATTGAACAGATTTTGTCCAAAATGTATTCCTTATATAACAATGGAATATTTATAATAAATGTGAGAGTATAGTAAATTTATTATCTATATATTACACCTTGATGTATATGAGGATCAGTAAAATACAGAAGTCATTTAAGTTTAGAAAACAAGTAGTTGTCTTTAACTTTTGCTTAAATTTATTAAGTATTATCAAGTTATTTTGTAGAAATATCAGTCATAAATATCATACATGCATAATGAAGAAATCTCAACTTTGAAAGAAGATAATTGTTTTTCTAAATCAAAAATTACTATTTTCACTTTTGAATACTGAGAAAAGAATTATATGAAATCTATTTTTGATGTTTAACACTGAAGTGTAATATTTTAAACTATTTTTTTTTTTTGTATTTCAGTTTAAGTTTAGGTATTTTTATACACTGAGCCACATTCCTAAGCCCTCTCTCCACTTTTGCAAATTTTGAGACTGTCTTGCTAAGTTGCTTAAAACCACATTAAGTTGCTGAGACAGAATTTAAACTTCTGAAACTACTCAGCTTTCCAATTTGCTTGGATTACAAGTATGGACCATCATGCCAGGTTTACAGTGCATTCTTTTTACCTATATTTACCGTATGTATGCAATATGTCTTTATAACTGAATATTTGTTTATATGTTAACACTCATGTATTGCATCCTGTTGTTAAATGACAGACATCATAGTGTTCCACTTGACTAAATGTTCTATGTAACAGTAAAGCATACTGTTGAGTAAATAATACTCTAGCATCTGTTAATACTTTTACACATTTTAATCAAACTTAATGTGGAATACAATTTGCATCAGTCAGATCATTATTTTTTTTTCTGTTTGTATTTATCGTGAAATTAAGAGTTATAAGGAGGATATAGATATAGGAAAATAAGCCCCAGATTTTCCTATCTTGATTTATAAATTTTAACTTTTTAACATTTTAACATTTCCTAGTTATTTTAATAGACAGAATTTCCACAAACTTAAATGCTGGGTTTCTGTTCTCATGACTAAAAGGCTGAGCAGTCACTCTAGTTAAACTGGGCTAACTGGGCTGCATGAAATAACCACACAAGAGACACAAATACCTTTTTCTTTGGGGTTGCTGTGACGGCTCCTCTGACCTTAAGGGCCCGCAGAAAGAGAGAGCACACGCTGACCCCTTTTATTGAGAAGAATCTATTCAAATGAGGCAAGGGGTCAGGTTTCAAGGGGCTGAGTCTATCTTCATGATGTCCACTGTCAGCAGGTTGACTGACACCTGGGTAGGCCACACCCAAGGGCACAGTAAGAGGAGGGGACACACACAAGGCACTTCCATAGAAGATTCTATCCTAAACAGGGCAAGGAGTTATATTACAAAGGAACAGGTGAGCATAGCTTCACCCATGGGGCTGTAGCAAGATACACCCATTTCTGTGACTGAGTGCCTCAGCACCCAGCTGGGGAGTGTAACTCAGTCACCCCCGTAAGGTTGGCCTCCCATATTTAAACGTAGCTCTTACAGGAGAGAAGAGCTTTATCTTTCTTGTGTGCATAATGGCCTTCTAGACTTCATCCTCATTGGAGACATTTTATTTTTCTGTGAATGAGGTCAATGATCAGTGTTTTCATGTACATTAGTAAATTCTGACATCCTTGTTATTCTATAGGTAGTGTTATTTCAGGGCAGGAATTAGAGACATGGATGTGGAGTCAAGGTTGAGTGAGACCTTATACTTATGACAAAATAATCAATGAGCTGTTTTATAGTCTCATTTTCTGAGGACCAAATAGTAAGAGGTAAACTGAGAAGGTTGTATGTAAAGAAACTTAATAGTTTCTTATCATAAAATGTTGGCTTTTCAGCTACAATAGGGTAAAAGCTTCTTATACACAGAATCCATACAAAAGTCATTTTGAATATCATTCACAATTTTATTAACATTACATATAATTCATGAAGAACAAAGTTTACAGCAACATATGCCTAAGAACAAGGTCTGGGGACATTGTACACTCTCCAATATAGACATTTATACCAATTTAATTATAGAAGAAACACTAAATAAGAAGTAATATCAATTGGATGAACACACAACAATATAGAAATGAAAACTTGTAAAGACTTAAGCAAGAGACCAATAGTGGATGAAGTGTGGTTTCCAAATGCTAGGGGAAAAATGGACATATAATCAGTTAAAGGTAATTGAAGAAAGATAAGTTGAGCTACAATAGTATTTGAAAGAAAAAGAGTCACAAAGTAAGCAATGATTATTCACTTCCATTTGTATGCTTTGTAATATTTTCCAAAAGTTTTCTGCATATTTTATTGCAGTCAAATTGAGAAACAATCCAGAAAGTTAAAAAAGACAAGTATTGCTCCTCTGGTTTTAAAAGCAAGAAAAGGAATACAGAGAGATTTATTGAGATAGAAAAATTTACTAGCTGGAGTTAAAAAAAAAAAGAACTGAGATTATCAGAGTCTAAGTATAATGTATTTCAGCCATCCCTGGCTGCACAGAGCATTTTTGCTTAACAAAGTATTTGTTCACGTATGTACGCTTAAAGAACATTGCTGTTTTTAGCCAGTCTTTTTTATGAATAACAATGATGTACCTTTCAACACTTTCCAGCCACAAAAATACACAATGTCAGAAATCTTCTGGTTCATCCTCCGTATATTCTGCCACAATATTCACCAGGACAAGATAATATAAACCTTTTGGCAGCCCCATTAAGGCATTCACTTCTATTAATTTTAAGGCCCAACATATACTGCATGGAAAAGTATGATACATGGAACAATATAATTTTACTTAGTAAAAATATTTTTGTCATGAAAAATATATCCCAACTCTTTTGTTTTGGGATTACATTAGAAAAATATGAGGTAATTATACTGTGCTCATACCTTAGGCTATGAGCCTTAAAATTACCTTAAAATACAAAAGAATATTAATGTTTATTTTTAAATATAGTTATTATATTTCAAATATTCAAATTCCACAGCAATCAATGATACAAAAACATGAGAAAAACAACTGCAGTTTGATGTCTCATCATGACATTTCAATACCTGCTGTAGATTGCCTGTGGCTTCCACTTTTAATTTAAAAAAATAATAATTTTTCCATACAATTTGGGTGAAGTGGAGGACAAAATCTCCTGCATTGTTTTCCTGGGCAAGCCATCGTACTTGAAACAACTGAACCCCAAATCAAAATATGTTTACTCTACAATCTAATTATATCAGTTCTTAACTCATCTAGCATTAAACAAATCCACTTTCTTCTGGTTGAATATCTTGAGCACAAAGATATGGAACCTGGGAGCTAAAAAAAATATGACATAAGTAATGAGGCCTTTTTTTGCCTAAGGCAAATTGCACTTTTTGTATTTGATTTTTCTGCCTGTGAAGATCTACATTTCTCTTCCTATAATGGTATTATGATTGATGGTGACTTGTGTGATTACAGGAGGCTTAAAATGCAGCTACATGTGTTTGAGTCCTTTCACTGGTAAAACATACTATAATTTGTACAATAATAGGAGACTCAAAATGGTGCTAGAAAAACTTATTTTTTTAATCTGCCTCTTTATTCATGGTTTTCTAATGGTTTTGATGTAGTCAGTTCAGACAATTTCTGATTAATGGGTGTCATAAAATGTAAATTCCCTCTATAATCATTAGCAATGAGACAATTCTTCCCTTTAAAAATAAAAACATTCTCATAGAGTCTTTGCTATATTCTAAGGAACCACTCTTGCTTTTGCTTTACTAAACAAAATAAATTCCATATTTGAGTCTCAAAGTAAATGGCAATACATTAACCTAAGCACCATGAGGAATATAAGAAATACAAGATATCACCTTTGAAATATAAAAACAAATAAGAATCAGAAATGCTAAGCCATTACCATCTAACCTATACCAGTGCTTTTAAAATGTAATCTTAGATGTTCTACTCACTCTCATAGTAAGATGCCTTAGACACAAAGATATTTAATCACTCACTAAAGGTCACTCAGTGAATGCATAACAGTTCTTATTCTAAAGCTTTTACAGAATTTTTTGATAATACATTGCAAAGTCTCACCTGTCTTCTTTAGAAATAAGACACAGAGGTTGTTTTAGTCTGTTTTATAATGTTACAGAAAAATACGAGATACAGGCCAATGTATAAAAAGAGATATAAATGCATAAAAATATTTTCTGAGAGGCTGTGGTTTTGTCTCAGTGGTAGAGTGCTCACCTGTCACATGCAAGAAGCTGGGTTCAATTCTCAGCACCATATAAAAATGAATAAATAGATA